GCTAGAGGGCGGCGACGGGGCCGCGGTAGGGCGGCGAGGGGGCCGCTGAAGGGCGGCGGCGGGGCCGCTAGAGGGCGGCGACGGGGCCGCTGTAGGGCGTTGACGGGGCCGCTGAAGGGCGGCGGCGGGGCCGCTAGAGGGCGGCGACGGGGCCGCGGTAGGGCGGCGACGGGGCCGCTGAAGAGCGGCGGCGGTGCCGCTAGAGGGCGGCGACGGGGCCGCGGTAGGGCGGCGACGGGGCCGCTGAAGGGCGGCGGAGGGGCCGCTACAGGGCGGCGACGGGGCCGCGGTAGGGCAGCGACGGGGCCGCTGAAGGGCGGCGGCGGGGCCGCTAGAGGGCGGCGACGGGGCCGTTTGGAGGGCGGCGACGGGGCCGCGAAAGGGCGGCGACGCGGCCGCGAAGGGCGGCGGGTGGGCCGCGAAGGCGGCGACGGGGCCGCGAGAGGGTGGCCGAGCCGCAAGGGGCGGCGACGGGGCCGCGAAGGGTGGCGACAGGGTCGTGAGGGGGGGGGGGGGCGGGGCGTGAGAGGGGCCGCTAAGGGCGGTGCAACGGGCCGCTAAGGGGAGGGCGGCCCACAGGGCGCGCCTCGGTCAGGGGCGACTCGATCTCAGGGCAGAAAAAAAAAATTAGTGGTGGGCCCAAGGAAAAGTTCCCACTAGGGAACCTGCTCTATACCATGTGAAGAAATGAGGAATGGATGAACTAGGAAATGAGTTGGGTACAAATATGCAACCCTAGAATGTTGTACCCCATAATGTCTACCCCACTATAGCCTAGAAAGACTAAAGCATATAAGTTCGACAAGAACTTAAGACTGCCCGTCGTACCGAATTTACGATCGCGCTACTGTGGACCATTCAAAATCAGCCACATGATCACCCCTGTCACCGCCCATTTACTGTTGCCAACAGACTGGTACATCAGGCATCATTCCACTGTCAGAATGTGTTATTTGTCCAGTCGGCAGTGGGGTACTCTATAGTGAGTACAGCCCAACTAGGGTTTGCTACATGTATCCCATTGCTTGCTAGTGAAAACCCTCTTCTGCTGTTCTCATTCCTGCTTGCTATTTTGACATGCCATCAGAGCGTCTACGCTCCTTGCCTATGGGCCCACCTGCTTCTGCTGCTGTACTGTCTGTCGCGCGCCCCGTGGCGCGCGACGTTTTCTCTTCCCGCCACGCGTGTGACGTTTTCTCTTCTTGCCCGCCGCAAGCCCCGGGTGCGCGGCGGTTTTCTGCTCGGTGCGTCGCCCCACCTAACCCGCGCCCCGCCTCGTGGGACCCGCGCGCCGCCCCCGCTGGACCCGCGCGACGCCTTGCGGGACCCGCGCGCTGCCCTGCTGGACCCGCGCGACGCCCTGCGGGCTCGCGCGCTGCCCCGCTGGGCCCGCGCGCCGCCCTGCGGGACTCGCGCGCCGCCCCTGTTGGACCTGCGCGCTGCCCCGCTGGACCCGCGCGCCGCCCCTCCTGGACCCGCCTGCCGCCCGCGCCCTGCCCATTGCGAGCGCCCCACAGCTCGCCCGCTCCCTGCACGTCGCGGCGCTGCCAGCCCTCCCCCCTCCTCCTTCAACTTCCTGCTGCGCATGCAGCCGTGTGGAGGGTATGGGGGTGGCGGGGGTAAGGGGGGGTATGGGGGTGGTGGGAGTGCGTGACCAGCTGCCCCTCCTCCTCCTCCGTCTCCCACTGCTGCAGCTGCCGCTGAGGGGGGTGGGTGTGTGGGAGCCTAGGGAGTGGCGCTAGGGGGGTGTCGTGAGAGTGGAGCTAGGGGTACAGCAAGGGGTGTGTGAAAGGGGTGTGCGACAGTTGGGGGAGGTTGAACGGAGGTAGCTGTCGTGACGTCAGCAGCGCTAGTAGTCCGGGGGTCACCCTTGCTCCGGTAGCCCAGCGAGCCTGCTGCGCCAGTCGCCGTGGTCCGTTGCTCCAGCCCCGCTCGTCTTAGCCGCGGAGTCAGTGACTCCAGTAGTTCGGATACCCTTGCTTGTGTCCGGTAGCCACCGTGCGCGCCGCTCCTGTTGCCCGTGTGTCTGTCGCTTCACCCGTCACCTTTTATCTCCACTCTTCTCACAGTCCCTCCTCCTCCTCACTTGCCCTCTGTGACTGCATCTAGCTTTGCTTGTGCTTGTGAACTTCTTATGCGACTGCTTGCTGTGCTGATCATACCCCACTTTGCCTGTGGAGGTGTGTCAGAATGTGTTATTTGTCTAGTCTGCAGTGGGGTACTCTATAGTGAGTACAACCAACTAGGGTTTGCTATATGTACCGTATCCCATTGCTTGCTAGTGAAAACCCTCTTCTGCTGTTCTCATTCCTGCTTGCTATTTTGACATCCACGCCAGCCTGCTTCGCCCCTACATCCCAACCACAAGTCAACTGCCTCGTCACCGCCCGCCATCCATGACTCGCCCTGCATCGTAGGCGATCATTGAGACTGAGAAGATTCTGAGCCATCGGATTCGACACCCCACAGGCATTAGGAGGATCGAGTTCCTCGTTCGCTGGAAGGACCGCACACCAACTGAGGATAGCCGGGTGCCCCTGGCCAACATTGAAAACCACCCTGTCCTGCAAGTGTACCTGAGGAGCCGGGGTTTCCGCGATATACACACACTCGCGTAGCGGAGGGGGCTTCTTGAGGAGGGGGGGTAGTGTAAGGAATTTTCTCAACATTCCTTACCGCGACCTGCAACATCGCGTACAGCAACAGCCGTTGTTCGCCCGTTACTGCTAACGGGGCTTCGCCGATTTCGCGTGCAATGTTTCACCAGACCATGCACCGCTGACCCGGCCGTGTCGGCCTACGCTTCGGGACTGGCCCGAGCCTCAATGCCAGCCTAGCACTAGCTAGCTCGCACGCACCGCGTTACCGTTTGCATGTTTCGTGTATAAATGTTCGCTCATGCCTTCCCTCATATTTTCTACTCGTTTGACACGTTAGTGCAATCCTCGCTACCTCGATCCATTGCACTCCAAAAGCGTGGATAGAGCATTATGGAGCATGCTTTGTACCACGCTAATGCTTCTTTCCTTGGTGTGAGAATTGCACATGTTGCCGCCTCTATCGACATACGGTAAGAATACGCATTGAATACATTTATCTGTAGGTGTGCGTGACTGCTTCCCCATCAGGCTTACTTGCACCATACACATGCTTGGTTTCGAAGCCTGTCATGTGGTGCTGCTTTTATTGATATGAAAATGTGCATTAAATACAAAACTCAATCGGAGTTCCTGGCTGTTTCGCCAGCAGGCTTACTCGCACTGTACACATGGTTGATTTCAAAGGTCGACTAGTACTGCCGCCGCCGCAGCCGCTGCTGTTGCTGGTAATCTTGCAATCTAACGATTCACTCTTGCTGCTTATCACCACCTCATGCTTGCCAGCTGTTGCAATTTGCCCTTCGCTGCTGCAATGGCTCAGGCCATGAACCTGTGAGCATTTATGACTGCTACACTCCAACAATGTAGACGGTTCTGCAGCAGGGGATGCTTCTGCCTTTCCTGCTCCTTCTCCTGCTCCTGCTCCTTCTCCTGCTCCTGCCCCTGCCCCTGCCCCTGCCCCTGCCCCTGCCCCTGCCCCTGCCCCTGCCCCTGCCCCTGCCCCTGCCCCTGCCCCTGCCCCTGCCCCTGCCCCTGCCCCTGCCCCTGCCCCTGCCCCTGCTCCTGCCCCTACCCCTGCCTGCAATTTCAAGGCTGCTCCTGTGCCTGCTCCTGCTGCTCCTTCTGTCATTGCATGACTCACACTCCTCTTGACTCGGGGCCCAACCCCTGGCTGGTTAGCCAGCAGGCTTACTCCTGCTGCTGATGCCCTCCTGCCCTCTCCTGCTGCTGATGCTCCTGTGCCTGCTCCTGCTGCTCCTTCTGTTGTTGTATGACTCACACTCCTCTTGACTCGGGGCCCAACCCACAGCTCCGCCCACGAATTGTTCATCAGTCTTCTCCGCCAATCACCCTCACCCTTGGTCCCAGCCCCAGCCTGAGCCTCGGCCCGAACCTCAGCCTGAGCCTCGGGCCCAACCTCTGTCTTTTCCCCTGCAACCGTCTCACTCCCCTCCTGTCTCCTCCCATTCCCTTCCCTCTCCTCCTCTACCTCCCTCTCTCTCTGCCCCTGCTCCTCTTCCTCCTCCTCCCTCTCACCCCCCGCCTCCCCCTCTCCCTCCTCTCCTCTTCCCTCAAGTTCCAAATACAGGAAAATCTGCCCTCCCCCTCTCTGCACACCCACTGCCCTCTGCCCTCCTTTTCTCAGCAACTGCTGCAGCACTCTAGGAGTCAGATCCGCTCCTGCCGTCTTACCTACTCTAACGAAGAGGTCTCTAAGGAGGATGGGTGCAGGAGGGTAGTCCCGCCGGCAAGGTTTGGAATGTGGGGTACTGTTGGTGGTCACCCTACAGCTATGTCCTTTTTGTTTTTCCTGCCCCAGAAATGCGGGTGCGTGAGACTGCTGCCCCAGCAACTCGTTATGATGTGATCCTGTACTGTTCGAGTGCTGCAGTTTTTGTGGTTGGCACCAATACTTTTGTCCCTTAATGTCCTCTGCTCCTTCTGCTCCCTCTGCTCCCTCTTCCACGTCTGCTCTCTCTACTCCCTCTGCTGCAACCAGTTTTCCGCACCCATGTGAACGCCCAGAATCCTCCTTTCCTTCCTCCTCCTCCTCTCTCTCCTTCCCCTTAAATCTCTCCTTCGCCTCCTCCTCACTTCTCACTACCTCCTCCCCCTCTCCCTTCTCCCTCTTCCTCCGCTTCTCTAACTGCTGCAGCGACGGCAGCAGGGAGAAGATGGATCTTGCAGGAGCGTCCATGCCAGCAATGCGGCCAGCTGCACTGATGCGAATCCGACCAACCTGGGAGGAAGAGAACGAGACAAAGAAAGAGAGAAGAAAGGAACGATGAGGGACGAGTGTGTAAGTGAAGGGGCCGGCAGCAGGGAGAACATGGCTCGTGTTTTGAGACGTCTCAAAAGGGGCCGGCAGCAGGGAGAACATGGCTCGTGTTTTGAGACGTCTCAAAAGGGGCCGGCAGCAGGGAGAAGATGGCTCGTGTTTTGAGACGTCCATACCAGCAACACGCCCAGATAAACTGATGTGGATTCCGCCAACCTGAGAGCACATGCGTGGAGTGAGAGCACATGCGTGGAGTGAGAGCACATGCGTGGAGTGAGAGCACATGCGTGGAGTGAGAGCACATGCGTGGAGTGAGAGCACATGCGTGGAGTGAGAGCACATGCGTGGAGTGAGAGCACATGCGTGGAGTGAGAGCACATGCGTGGAGTGAGAGCACATGCGTGGAGTGAGAGCACATGCGTGGAGTGAGAGCACATGCGTGGAGTGAGAGCACATGCGTGGAGTGAGAGCACATGCGTGGAGTGAGAGCACATGCGTGGAGTGAGAGCACATGCGTGGAGTGAGAGCACATGCGTGGAGTGAGAGCACATGCGTGGAGTGAGAGCACATGCGTGGAGTGAGAGCACATGCGTGGAGTGAGAGCACATGCGTGGAGTGAGAGCACATGCGTGGAGTGAGAGCACATGCGTGGAGTGAGAGCACATGCGTGGAGTGAGAGCAAGGGTGTGTGGGATGAATGCATGGGGTGGCAGCAGGGAGAAGATGGCTTGAGCAGGAGCGTCCATGCCAGCAATGCGCCCAGCTGGACTGATGCGGATCCGGCCAATCTGCAGGCAGAGAGGTAGAGACGGGGCGAACGAAGGCTGGGGATTCAGTGCAGGCATGAGATAAGGTGGTGGCAGCAGGGAGAACATAGCTTGAGCAGGAGCGTCCATATCAGCAATGCGACCAGATGCAAGCTGGTTTTATGAGAATTCTCAACGACCAAATGCAAGCTGGTTTTTGAGAATTCTCAACGACCAGATGCACTGATGCGGATTTGGCCGACCTGCAGGCAGAGAGGAAGAGAAGGGGAGAACAAAGGATGGGGTTTCAGTGCAGGCGTGTGTGAGAAGCGCATATGGGATGAGTGAATAGGGAATCAGCAGGTCAGGGCGAACACGGCTCGGGCAGGAAGCGTCCCTGCCAGCAATGCGCAGACAGTTTTTGAGGCGCCTCAAACATGGCTCGGGCAGGGGGGCGTCCCTCCAGCAATGCACAGACATCATACAGGCACAGGAACATGACCATGCCTACTCCTTCACTCATACCCCTTCCCTCACGAGGTGACTTTTGAGTCGACTCAAAAGGCATCACACAGGCACAGGAACATGACCACGCCTTCTCCTTCACTCATTGCAGGGAGTTTTTGAGAATTCAAAAAATCTCCTCACACAGGCACAGGAACATGAACACGCCTTCTCTTGAGGCGCCTCAAAAGTCATCACAGAGACGCAGGAACATAAACACGCCTTCTCCTTCACTCATACCCCTTCCCTCACCTCTCTCACTGAGCCCATTTTCCACCTCACCTCAGCCTCCTCTCCTCAGCAGCCCTCCAGTGCAGTCCAAACAGGCAGGCGCCAGCAGTGCTGGTCTCCCCGATACCCTCACACACACACACACATACCCTCTCTTTCACTCACCTCTCCCATCAAAGCCGTCTTCTTCCGCAATCGCCTCCCCCCAGCAGCCCGCCAGTGCAACCCGAACAGGCAGGCAGCAGCAGTGGTGGTCACACTGCTTGCACCACACTCACACAGGCACATGCATAGGCACAGACTCATACTCTCATTCCCTCACTCACCTCATTGCCTGCCTACGGACTCTCATTGCCTGCCTACATACTCTCATTGCCTCCCTACAGACTCTCATTGCCTGCCTACAGACTCTCATTGCCTGCCAATTGAAGCCGTCTTCTTCGGCAATCGCCTCCCCCCAGCAGCCCGCCAGTGCAGCACGAACAGGCAGGCAGCAGCAGTGGTGGTCACACACACCCAAACACACACAAACACATACACATCTGCCCTCTCCTCCTCTCACCTCTGTCACTGGAGCCATTTTCTTTCTGAGCCTCCTTCCCCCAGCAGCCCTCCAGTGCAGGCCGAACAGGCAGGCAGCAGCAGTGCTTGTCTCAGTTACACACACACACCTGCGCTCTCTTTCACTCACCTCAGCAATTGAAACCATTTTATTTCTGAGCCTCCTTCCGCCAGCAGCCCGCCAGTGCAGCTCGAACAGGCAGGCTGCAGCAGTGCTGGTCACAGGCTGCACCGCCCGCACCAAGGATTGGTTGTAACCGCCGATGCGGTTACCAACCATCGCAACGCCGACGATACAGGGGCCTGGGGAAGGGAGGAAGAGCAGGAAGGGTGGGTGTGGGGGTTAGGCGGGAGAAAGGCTGTAGCAGCAGTGATGGCCACAGGCTGCACCGCAAGCACCAAGCGTCTCGTGTAACCGCCAACGTGGTTACCAACCATTGCAACACTGAGGATACAGGGGCCTGTGGAAGAGAGGAAGACGGAGACAAGGGGAAAAGATGGGAGGAAGGGTTTGAGGAGGAAGGCTGTAGCAGCAGCAGAGGTGGTCACAGGCTTCACTGCGAGCACCCAGCGACTCGTTGTAACCGCCGATGCCGTTACCAACCATTGCAAAACCGAGGATCCTTTTGTGTCGACTCAAAATTCAAACCACCGATGCGGTTACCAACCATTGCAACACCGAGGATGCCAGGGGGACGAGACTCACCGCCTCCCCGCTCACTGCCGCTCGTAGAGAGGGTATTTTTGAGACGGTAGTTTTGAGACGTCTCAAAAACACCGAGGATGCCAGGGGGACGAGACTCACCGCCTCCCCGCTCACTGCCGCTCGGTCAAAGAGACCCGTGGGATCCAGAGGGGAACCAGACGGGGGGAGAGTACTTTTGAGAATTCTCAAAAGTACCGTCAACGTAGCTCGGCCAAAAAGACCCGTGGGATCCAGAGGGGAACCAGACGGGGGGAGAGTCGACAAGCCCTCAGGAAACAAGCAGAGACTCACCACAGGTCAACGGGATGCAGAGAGCGGAGGGGGAGCTTGGGATGTCCCTTGGGCAGAGCAGCAGGCGGCACTGCATTGTTCCGCCACACCGCCTCCCCTCTCACAGCCACCCGGCCAAAGAGTCTCACAGGGCACAGAGGGGAGAGGTACAAGCAAAGGAGCAAAGACTCACCACAGGTCAACGGAATACAGAGGGCGGAGGAGAGCTTGGGATGGCCCTTGGGCAGAGCAGCAGGCGGCACGGCATTGTTCCTCCACGCCGCCTCTCCCCTCAGCACCGCCCGGCCAGAGAGACGCAGTGCTTTGTTGGGCCCAGAGCAGAGAGGCAACAAGCCTCTTGCATGCTGTGCACGCTCAGGGAATGTGAAGAGACTGGTCAGGGGTAAGCAGAGGGCCGACGAGAGCTTGGGAAGGCCCTTGGGTAGAGCAGCAGGCGGCACCGCATTGTTCCTCCACGCCGCCTCTCCCCTCAGCACCGCCCGGCCAGAGAGACGCAGTGCTTTGTTGGGCCCAGAGCAGAGAGGCAACAAGCCTCTTGCATGCTGTGCACGCTCAGGGAATGTGAAGAGACTCACCACAGGTCAGGGGTAAGCAGAGGGCCGACGAGAGCTTGGGAAGGCCCTTGGGTAGAGCAGCAGGCGGCACCGCATTGTTCCTCCACACCGCCTCCCCTCTCACAGCCGCCCGGCCAAAGAGGAAGAGTTCTTTCAGGAAAACAAGGACAGACGAAGAGACTCACCACAGGTCAACGATATGCAGAGAGCGGAGGAGAGCTTGGGATGGCCCTTGGGCAGAGCAGCAGGCGGCACGGCATTGTTCTGCCACACCGCCTCCCCTCTCACAGCGGCCCGGCCAAAGAGGCCGGCGGGATCCAGGGGGGAGAGCAGAAGCCCGGTTGAAGAGGGGAAAGAAGCTACAAGCAAAGGAGCAAAGACTCACCACAGGTCAAGGGTATGCAGAGAGCGGAGGAGAGCTTAGGATGTCCCTTGGGGAGAGCAGCAGGCGGCACGGCATTGTTCTGCCACACCGCCTCCCCTCTCACAGCGGCCCGGCCAAAGAGACCCGTTGGGTCAAGGGGGGAGAGTAGAAGCCCAGTTGAAGAGGAAGCGTCCAGGAAGGTTCCGTGCAGCTGATCCGTCCAGCCTACGTTGTTGATGGCGTGGGATCTAAGTGCGAGCGTGAAGCCTTGCGGTGGGTTGTGGGGTGAGTTGTGAGGTGGGCTCTGAGACCGGTTAAGTGCCAGTATAGAGCTTCCGGATGGGTTTGGAGGTGGGTTAAGTGCGAGTGTGGGGCTTTGAGGTTGGTTGATAGCCAGTGTGGGTAGTGTGGGTCCGGTGTCAGGCATGAGGTGGGGAAGAGTGCGAGCGAGTGTGGAACCTTTGGGTACGAGGCAGAGCGAGGCGATGAATCCAATGGAGGATTCTGTGAGGTCTAGGAGAGAACTGAGGAGGTTGGTGAAGACTGTCTGACCTGTTGGGGACTGGGAGAGGGGACGAGGGAAGAGGGAAGGAAAGGAGGAGCATTTGAAGGTATGAGGTAGAGGGAAGCGAGGAAGCCGAAGGATGATTCGGTGAGGTCTAGCAGAGAACTGAGGAGGTTGGTGAAGACTGTGTGACCTGCTGGGGACTGGGAGGGGGGACAGGGGAAGAGGGAGGAGAGGAACGGAGGAACACATGCGTTCGAGTCGACTCAAAAGAAAACACATGAGGCAGAGGCAGGCCGTGAAGCTGAAGGAGGATTCTGTCTAGCAGAGAGCTGAGAAGGTTGGTGAAGACGGTGTGACCTGTTGGGGACTGGGAGAGGGGACGAGGGGAAGAGGGAGGAGGGTCAGGCAGCACGGGAAATGAATGGAGGACATTTTGTTTGAGATTGATTTTGAGAATTCTCAAAATCAATCTCAGACAGGGGAAGAGGGAGGAGGGTCAGGCAGGCAGCGGGGGAAATGGATGGAGGAAGGAAAGGAGGATCATCTGAAGCACGATGCAGAGAGCGGCAATAGAAGCGAAGGAGGATTCGGTGAGGAGGTCTAGGAGGTCTAGGAGGTCTAGGAAGGCGCTGAGGAGGTTGGTGAAAACAGTGTGACCTGTTGAGGGCTGAGAGGGGGAACAGGGCAACAGAGGAACAGGGCAACAGAGGAACAGGGCAACAGAGGAACAGAGGAACAGGGCAACAGAGGAACAGGGCAACAGAGGAACAGGGCAACAGAGGAACAGGGCAACAGAGGAACAGGGCAACAGAGGAACAGGGCAACAGAGGAACAGGGCAACAGAGGAACAGGGCAACAGAGGAACAGGGCAACAGAGGAACAGGGCAACAGAGGAACAGGGCAACAGAGGAACAGGGCAACAGAGGAACAGGGCAACAGAGGAACAGGGCAACAGAGGAACAGGGCAACAGAGGAGCAGGGCAACAGAGGAACAGGGCAACAGAGGAGCAGGGCAACAGAGGAACAGGGCAACAGAGGAACAGGGCAACAGAGGAGCAGGGCAACAGAGGAGCAGGGCAACAGAGGAACAGGGCAACAGAGGAACAGGGCAACAGAGGAACAGGGCAACAGAGGAACAGGGCAACAGAGGAACAGGGCAACAGAGGAACAGGGCAACAGAGGAACAGGGCAACAGAGGAGCAGGGCAACAGAGGAGCAGGGCAACAGAGGAACAGGGCAACAGAGGAGCAGGGCAACAGAGGAGCAGGGCAACAGAGGAACAGGGCAACAGAGGAACAGGGCAACAGAGGAGCAGGGCAACAGAGGAACAGGGCAACAGAGGAACAGGGCAACAGAGGAGCAGGGCAACAGAGGAGCAGGGCAACAGAGGAACAGGGCAACAGAGGAGCAGGGCAACAGAGGAACAGGGCAACAGAGGAACAGGGCAACAGAGGAACAGGGCAACAGAGTGTGGCGCTCTTGGGTGTCGTGCAACAGAGGAGCAGGGCAACAGAGGAACAGGGCAACAGAGGAACAGGGCAACAGAGGAACAGGGCAACAGAGGAACAGGGCAACAGAGGAACAGGGCAACAGAGGAACAGGGCAACAGAGGAACAGGGCAACAGAGGAACAGGGCAACAGAGGAACAGGGCAACAGAGGAACAGGGCAACAGAGGAACAGGGCAACAGAGGAACAGGGCAACAGAGGAACAGGGCAACAGAGGAACAGGGCAACAGAGGAACAGGGCAACAGAGGAAGAGGGCAACAGAGGAACAGGGCAACAGAGGAACAGGGCAACAGAGGAGCAGGGCAACAGAGGAACAGGGCAACAGAGGAACAGGGCAACAGAGGAGCAGGGCAACAGAGGAACAGGGCAACAGAGGAACAGGGCAACAGAGGAGCAGGGCAACAGAGGAGCAGGGCAACAGAGGAACAGGGCAACAGAGGAACAGGGCAACAGAGGAACAGGGCAACAGAGGAACAGGGCAACAGAGGAACAGGGCAACAGAGGAACAGGGCAACAGAGGAACAGGGCAACAGAGGAGCAGGGCAACAGAGGAGCAGGGCAACAGAGGAACAGGGCAACAGAGGAACAGGGCAACAGAGGAGCAGGGCAACAGAGGAACAGGGCAACAGAGGAACAGGGCAACAGAGGAGCAGGGCAACAGAGGAGCAGGGCAACAGAGGAACAGGGAAACAGAGGAGCAGGGCAACAGAGGAACAGGGCAACAGAGGAGCAGGGCAACAGAGGAGCAGGGCAACAGAGGAACAGGGCAACAGAGGAACAGGGCAACAGAGGAACAGGGCAACAGAGGAACAGGGCAACAGAGGAACAGGGCAACAGAGGAACAGGGCAACAGAGGAACAGGGCAACAGAGGAACAGGGCAACAGAGGAACAGGGCAACAGAGGAACAGGGCAACAGAGGAACAGGGCAACAGAGGAACAGGGCAACAGAGGAACAGGGCAACAGAGGAACAGGGCAACAGAGGAACAGGGCAACAGAGGAACAGGGCAACAGAGGAACAGGGCAACAGAGGAACAGGGCAACAGAGGAACAGGGCAACAGAGGAACAGGGCAACAGAGGAACAGGGCAACAGAGGAACAGGGCAACAGAGGAACAGGGCAACAGAGGAACAGGGCAACAGAGGAACAGGGCAACAGAGGAACAGGGCAACAGAGGAACAGGGCAACAGAGGAACAGGCAACAGAGGAACAGGGCAACAGAGGAACAGGGCAACAGAGGAAGAGGGCAACAGAGGAACAGGGCAACAGAGGAACAGGGCAACAGAGGAACAGGGCAACAGAGGAACAGGGCAACAGAGGAACAGGGCAACAGAGGAACAGGGCAACAGAGGAACAGGGCAACAGAGTGTGGCGCTCTTGGGTGTGAGGCAGAGGGAGGCGATGAATCCTAAAGAGTATTCGGTGAGGTCTAGGGGAGAGCTGAGGAGGTTGGTGAACACTGTGTGACCTGTTGGGGACTGGGAGGGAGAGAAAAAGGGGGGGAGGATGGGGGACGAGGGAAAGAGGGAGGAGGAAGGTAGCGCAAACGCATAAGGCACGAGGCAGGGAGAGGCGATGAAACCGAAGGATGATTCGGTGAGGTCTGAGGGAGAGCTGAGGAGGTTGGTGAACACGGTGTGACCTGCTGGGGACTGGGAGGGGGAACAGGGGAGGGGGGAGAGGAAGGGAGGATCACATGAGGCAGAGGGAGGTGATGAATCCGAGAGATGATTCTGTGAGGTCTAGGAGGTCCGGACATGGCTCAGTGAGCTGCGTGCGTGCAGTGAGTCGATTTTTGAGTCGACTCAAAAATCGATTCTGTGAGGTCTAGGAGGTCTAGGAAGGCGCGGAGGAGGTTGGTTGGTGAAAACAGTGTGACCTGTTGGGGACTGGGGAAAAAGCTGGGAGGGGAGGAGGAGAGGAGGGTAATGCAGTGTAATCGCCAGTATCCCACTCAGTCGTTTGAACCATCCCACCTCACCCACTAACCCACTCACCCATTAATCCACTCAACCACTAACTCTCTCAACAACCCAGTACCCTACTCACCCGATCCTTCTTCATGTCCCAATGCGCTTTTTCCACAGCAGACAGCAACAACTCGTTATCCACCTCCTCCTCCTCCTCCTCCTCATCCTCCTCCTCCTCCTCCTCTTCCTCCTCCTCCTCTTCCTCCTTTTCCTCCTCCTCTCCATCTTCCTTCCCCTCTCCTATCCCCCCCCCTTCCAGTTCTCCCCTTTCCCCTTTCCCATTCCCCACCCCCACCCCATTCGCTTCCTCTTGCATTCCCCTCCTTTTCCCCACCAGCCTGCCTGGACACGAACTGACCAATAGCGGCTGGACAGCTAAGCACTCCTCTGCCAGCGTGACACCTGGCACAGGCCACAATCGCCCCGGATAGAATCTCCTGCTACAGCAGCCGCTACAGCTTCTGCTACAGCCACTATGGTGGTTGCACCTCCTGCTACAGCCGCCGCTGCAGCCGCCGTTACAGCCGCCGCTACAGCTACAACTACATCTCCTGCCACAGCTGCTGCTGCCATGGCCACTAGCACACCTGCTATTGCTGAGTGTTCTGCTACAAAAATCGCCACTGACAAAACCGCCACTCCCCGTAATTCCTCTGCAAAAACTGCTGCTGCTGTTACTTCTATCTCTCTTATCCTTATCGCTGGTTCTGCTGCTGCTGCTGCTGCTGCTGCTGCAGTGTGGGTTATGAGACAGCTCAGGTCTGCTGCACTTGCTGTTGCATAGTCTTCGCCTGAATTGGTAACCCCCCTCCTGCTCAAGCCTGTCAAGCACTGCACTTTCGAAACCATCCCATCGATCCCAATTTAAGCACAGGACTGACTGTCGTTCACACGGCACTGACTCGAGCGCACACGGTTCACCCAATCTTGAGCATACAGCCCCACTCCCACCACTCCTTGTGCCTCTGCTCTCTGTTTCCAACCCTTCTGCCGCCCTCCTCCCTCTCACCTCTCCTCCCTCACTCTCCTTCCTCCCCTTCCCCTCTCCACCCTCTTCTCCCTCCACACCCTCCTCTTTCTCCTCGTTCTCCTGCCTCTGATCGTCTCGGCACCCACACTCCCACTCCCCATCACTCCACTCTCCCTCCTCTCCCCAACCCTCCTCCTCCTCCTCCACCTCCTCCTCCTCATCCACCTCCTCCCCCACCGCCTCCCCTTCAGACGAGCTGCTACTATCCGACTCCTCATCCTCTATAATCTCTGCTAAAGCCTCCGCTACAAGGGCAGAGCCAGCAGAAGGGGACCTGGGCAGCTGAATAGACCTCCGGGCAGGCGAAAAAGCCGGCGAGAAACCCGGCATTGGCGAGAGGGGAGAGGTAGGGGCGAAGGGGTGGCTGCCAGAGGGAGACAGGAGTCGGTTATTTGGCGAAAGGAGGCTGTTACTAGAGGAAACGAGGCGGCTATTAGCGAAATGGGGGCGGCTAATTGGCGAAAGGAGGCGGTTACGAGGGGATAGGAGGCTGCTGCTGCTGCTGCTGCTGTTAGGAGAAAGAAGGTTGTTGTCTTTAAAGGAAGGGATATCATTTCTCCTCTGTAAGAGGTTGTTTCCTCCAGCAGCAATCGTTTCGGCACGTGGCATGCGCTGCTGCACCGGCAGCACCGCTTGCTGCTGCAAGGGGAGAGCTTGAGAAGTAAGATTCTGCGAGGGATGATGACTCTGCATTGGAAGAAGATTCTGAGAAGGGAGGTTCTGCAGAGGAAGATTCTGCAGAGGAGGGTTTGGAGGAGGGTTTTGCAAGCGCAAAGCAGCAGCGGAGGAGAAAGGGCTATGCATGCCGCCATCAGCCATCTCATCAGGATTGAAACTGAAACTATCAGCAGAGGCAGCCCTCCTGTGCCCTTGCCGTCCCCTCCCCATCCTCCCCCCCACTCCTCCCCCTCTGCTGTTGCTGCTGGTGCCTCCGCTAGGGCTGCACCAGCGAGGCGGGCGAGCTAGGGACGGGCCGGAGGGGGTGACAGGAGAGTTTCTGCTGCTGCCTTCACGGCTGCTTTCATTCTGCCTGGTTTCGTGATTCTGCCTTCTTGTCTGGTTGGGCCCTGAGTGCTGCTCGTGCTGTCTCCTTGACTGGCTGTGACCGATCTCTTGCTGAGACTGATTCTGCTGAGCGATTAGCTGGTTATTTCCCTGGAGGTGCGGTGGAAAGCGGTTAGGATGGCGGGACGGGTGGAGGGCGGCAGAGGGGGAGACGGCAGGAGAGGAGGAGGGGGACGGGGAGGAGGAGGAGGAGGAGGAGGAGGTGGAGGGGAGGGACGGGGGAGCGCGTGGGGAGGAGGATCGGCGGGGGTGCAGCGGAGGGAGAGAGTGAGGAGAGTAGGAGTGGGGAGAGGCGTGAGGAGAGGAGTGACGAGAGGAGTGACGAGAGGAGTGACGAGAGGAGTGATGAGAGGAGTGGGGAGAGGAGTGATGGGAGGAGTGCGGAATGGTATGAGGAGAACAGGCGGAGGGGGTACTGTGGCTGCGAGGGTATGTGAAGGAGTTTCGGCGGCTGGAGCGGGAATTCGGGGGTGACACGGAGGCAGGAGGGCGGGTGAAACTCCTACGAGAAAGGGAGGAGGACGAAGCAACACCAACAGCAGCAGCAGGAGCAGCAGCGGGAGCTGCAGCAGGGGCAGACGGAGCAGCAGCAGCAGCAGCAGCAGCAGCAGCAGCAGCAGCAGCAGCAGCAGCAGGAGTGGTAGAAGCAGGAGCAGAAGGAGCTTCAGCAGTGGTGGGGGGATAACTCGTGGTGCTTGTGCTGGTTGTGTCAGTGGTATTGGTAGCGCCAGTGCCACGTGGCAGCTGGTCATTGGGTTGCGGCGTCCCCCCTTGAAGCTGCCCCGCTTGCCACTGAACGAGCAGCTCCTGCAGCACCTGTTGTTGCTCTGAGGTGGTCCCGATCGCTAGCTTCATGGGCTGCCCACTCTGCTGCTGCGAATTCTGCTGCCCACTCGCCTGCTGCCCACTCGCCTGCTGCCCACCCAGCTGCTGCTCTGAGGTGGTTCCGATTGCCAGCGTCGATTGCTGCGTACTCTGCTGCAGCACCTGCTGCAGCTCCTCTGAGGTGATCCCTATTCCTAGCTTCATGGGTTTCCCACTCTGCTGCCGTAAACTCTGCTGCTGCACTATCTGCTGTTCCAGCAACTCACTTTCATGCGGCGTCCACTCAACTAGCACCTCCTTCAGCCCTTGCTCCTGCTGCTCCCCTTGCTGCTGCTGCCCGTGCTGCTCCCTTTGCTGCTGCTTCCCGCGTTCCTGTTCACTTCCCTGCCCCTGAATTCTCCCCTTCTCCCTTCCCTCTCGATTTACCTGTTGCTCCTTGCCATCTCCTCCCCCTTGCGGGCCCCCCTTGTTCGGCTCCTCCCCCTCCTCCTCCCCTTCCTCCTGCTCCTGCTCCTTCTTCTCGTTCTCCTTCTGCTCCTGCTGTTCCTGCTCCTCCACACGCCCCTTCACCCCAACTGCCAAACCACCGTCCAAACACACCGCCCCTTCCATATCCTCGCTACTAGCTGCTCCAGTTCTGCCAGAAACCCGAACTCCCTTCTCTTCAACTCCTGTCTTCTCCACGTGTAAAAGGCCTTGCTCCTCACGAGATCCCGCCACCTCCCTTTCCTGAATCCCCCGTACACGCGTCTCCTGCCCTGCTATAAATCTCTCCTGTCCCGGGTATTGCTCTGATAAACTTTTCATAATCCTCACCTTTCCTCCTCTGCCTTCCCCTCTAGAATCCCAACTCTCACCGCCCAAATCCTCATGTGGCGCCTCCTGACGTGGCTCCAGCGGCTGCTGCTTTCCCGCGTGAAACGGCCGGTGGCGTTGCCACCAGTGGCCTAGCCTCGCCTGTAGCTTCTTTCTCGGGATTTGCTGCATCTGCTGCATTTGCTGGAGTAACCTCATTGGACTTCGCCAGCTTCCCCTTTCCTCCTCCCCTTCAGTACCCGCTAATTTCGCCGATCTGGATCCGGAAATGTAAGAAACTCGGAAATTGGCATCTGTGGTGTAGCTAGGAGCCTCATTCCAGGCCGAATGATCGATTTTAATTGCCACGTCATCACTACCTTCTGCACTTTCTACTGCTTCGACTTCTCCTTCTCCTCCTCTTTCAGCAACGGAAGCAGCAAAAGCAGAAGCAGAAGCAAACTCGCCCTCGCCCTCTCGCGCTCCACCTTTCGCGTCTGATTGGAGATCCAGATCGCCTGATGGTAAGCTGTGAAACCGGGTCAGCTGCCGTCGATTTTCCCCAAGCTCCTTCGTTTCTCCGGATATCCGGACCCCGCCATTCGCACCGCGGCTGCTGCTGCTGCCGCTGCTGGTCACATTTTTTGGGTTAGTAACAAGGAAACCGCTGCGTACAGGGAGACAGCTGCTTTCCGTCGCGTTCCCCGAGCTACTAGCACTTAACCGCCAGATGGTGCTACTACTGCTGCTGCCGTCGATTCTGTTGCTGCTTCCGTCAATTCTGCTGCTGCTGCTGCCGTCAATTCTACCGCTTCTGCTTCTGCTGCCGTCGATTTTAATCGGGCTTCCCCCGCCGAGCCTCCAGCTGCTTGCCAAGCTGATGCTCCGTAACGCAATATCGAAACTCTTTCTAACAGAGCCTGGGGCATTTGCTCCGTCGTTGTTTTCCGATTTCTTAATCCAACCTTGCTTGGCAACGGCATTCGCTGAACCTTCTCGTGCGCTCTCCAGCGACCGCCTTTCGGCACGAGGCGATCCGTTAGTGGTGTCGCTATACGCGATATTAGTGACTTCGGGATCGCGAAATTTTGTCTCACAATCGGAAGCATACTCCGCGACTGGGCTCAGCGGCAAGACGCTCGCCTCGGACGCTGACGACGACTCCATTCAGCCGGGAAAAAAAAAAGGGGAAAGAAAGAAACTTCTCTCTACGCGAGTGAAATCATAACGCGGATGCGAAGGAAACCATTTCTAGACAAGACAACGCGAGACGAATCTTCAAGTCGGAGCTTGACAACCATAAGCTAGTCCTACGCACACCAACTCTTCACACAATCCAAGCCACTTGTATGTTGACCTTACAGGCACTCGACAGCTGCGTTCTGTAGGCACGACAGAGGGGGAGCGGTAAAAAGGAACCTTCCCCAACTGCGATTTTTGGTTCGAAAGGGCGGTCAGCCCGGAAAATGGTTCCGAGCCTCCCAATCACCCTCCGAACGTAAACGAAGGTATGCAACAGAACAGCCATTGAGGAAGCCGCCCATTTCCCCTCCCCACCTTCCTACACTGGCAAATTTTGCCTCCTTCACCCCGCCCTTCGAAAACTGCTTTTTCGGGGAGGTGCATCGGAGGGGGAAGGGAGGCGCTGGGTTATTAACACCACACCGGAACCCTAGAAAGCAAACACCCCTAAGGGGGTATGCCATGTGCGCAATACCTACGCTGGGCCGTGCTGGGCCGCTGCGGCCCAGGGGCATTTGCATGGACCAGCAAGGACCAGCGAACGGCCCAGGTGTGGACCCGACTTGCACCCGCCCACGGACCAGCATGTACAGTTCGAGGCGCACGTACGAAAAGGATGCTCGACACGCAGGACCATTTCCAGAGCGACCCAAGGCGATGGGAATCGCATGCGAAAAAAACGTTTTGAATTTTTCGCCAAAAGTATCTGCTTTCTGCGACATCTTGTTCGAGCGTGACCAGGTATACTTTTGATTTCGTCAACACTTCGTTTTCGAAGCTGCAATGCACTGTGCATAGCTCGTCCGCCGCAAATGATCCCCGGTACCAAGCGGGACCACTTTTGGAAGTGATCCTTCTAAAATGGTGCCCCCTTGTATTCGCTGGTCCATTTCCTTGTAAATGGACCAGCGCGCAATGTAACACCTCCTGACCTCGATAGCTCAAACAGGGACGCAGCAACGCTAACAGGACAAAAAAATACAAGTTACCAAGGGTGTGCTAGGGGTTGAATTTCTTCCATCTGATTACCCTTGTCTCGATTTCAACCCTCGTTCTGACTTCACGCTGCTCTATCTACCCATGAAGTGTGCGTGCGAGATTCTTGTTTTTTCGTCATTACCTTCAGAGCCTTCCAACCGAGCATCCGAAATCTCCCACTATCGGTTGTAGCAGGGGGGTGGTGATGTCGAAGGAGAAACTGCGAGGAGCCCTCGTCATTTCCCTTCGCTCCCCCTCCTCCCTCCCTTGGCGTATGCCTACGGAACGCAGCCGACGTGTCAATCAGTTCACATCACACCATGGTCCATGATCCCAAGGCCATGGCGTATGGCCTATGGCCCACCCGGGTTTCTTGTACGAGTTGAGTGGGACGGAAAGCTGCTGAAGAAGCTTCGGTTGTGGTGGCGTGGCGAAGGAAGGAAGCGGGGGAAGCGGAGTGGGAGTAGAGGTTGCGGGCGGGCGCCTGCCCGTCCCCCACGACTCGTTTCCCGCCCGCCAACCCATTCTTTTTTGCTTCCGCGCGCCATGAACGCGGCCGCGATGGTGTTCGGACCTTGTCCTGTGGTGGCGAAGTGGGTGGGCGGGGCAAGCGCGTGTATCCAGCTCATACCCTAAATAACTGCCATTTCATGCTCGTCACGACCACGATGTGTTACAGTGTAAGGAAAATTCCTTTTCCTTCTCTACGCGTACATCACTATAGCACCACAGTCAACACCGTTACCACTCGCAACCCTCGCATCGACAATCCGCCCGCCACCTTCGCACATCGCACCCCGACCTCACGGCTCGGCGGGTAACCCGCGCTCCGGGCCTCCGCTTCGACACTTTTTCCCAACCTCAGTCCCAGGCCCGTCGAGCGACAACCACGGTCCATTACCGTTACCACTGTAGTTTCGCTATATATTCTTCGCTCACGCCTTCGCTCATTGGACTCTTGCTTCGATAGTGCAATTCTCGTTTGTTCACTCAATTGCACTCGTAACACTTGGTATTCATAGCCTACGATCTCCTCTCGGACCGCACCCACACCTTCGCTTCCCCACTATCTCAATTTTTGGGGGGGGGTAGACGTCTCTCAGCGACACAGCACCGCCGCTCGTAGTGCTCTCTCGTAAGCACGCACGGCCACGACCGAGGCTCTCGCTGAGCTCGCCCGACACCCCCGCCATGGCCGAATTCACGCTCGCCACATTGACGCAGGAGCAGCTCGACCGTCTGGTGCGCCAACTTGAAGATTCGGCGCTTGAAATTGCGACGCTCACGGCGGAACGTGACTCCGCGCGTCAGCAATCCACGATGAACACTCCAGCACCACCACACGCACCGACAAACGCATCTGCACAATCAGACGAGCCGATCGTCATCTCGTCCAGCACACCAACACAAAACAACAGCGTGGGACAGCGCGCAGGCGCAGCCAGCGATGGTGCCACCCAGCCGATGCCTCGCATGGGAGGAAACAGGGTCGCACCAAGCACGCGGTGCGGAGATTCACTCTACAACAGTAGTGAGCTAGACAATAGGGGTTGGCACGAACTACTAGAGGTGATCGTAGCTTTGCTTGGTTCCTTAGTTTATGCACTTTCACGGGAGAAATTGGCATTTGACACCGAGACGATCGTCCGCAGAGCCACCACCTTGGTCGACGGCGACTGTGTCGAGCAGGGGCGAAGGTCGGTGCAGAGGACTCGTCCGGTGTAGCGTGCTCGACCGAGCACCTCCCCGGTCGTAGCAACGAGCAGCATCTCGTCCCCGTCACCCTGCAGCTGCACTCCGCTCTCCTTCAGTTGGCCGGCTGACAGCAGGTTCGCCTGAACACCCGGAACGTAGAGCACGTCGGGGATGCGCACCCGCTTCCCGGCCTCCCCTTGCAGAGCGAAAGTTCCACGACCCTCGACAGACTGTAATGCCCCGTTGAACCCACGCACGTGCTTCACTCCGTCGCTCGGCCCCATGTCGACGAAGACCGATTTCGTCCCCATCAGGTGGTGGGAGCACCCGCTGTCGAGCAGCACCGCCATCGGGTTGGCCTGCACAGCTGCTGCCACCGCCTGGAAGTCCTCGCTAGCCTCCGGTGCTAGCGAGACCGTCGGCTCCACCACGCCGACCATCGAGCACGACGCCTCCCCGTCGCCTCGGCTCTTGCCGCTGGAGCTGTCGACGTCCTTCGTCGAGGACGTCTTCTTCGACGCTTGCTTCTCCTTGCGCGGCTTCTCAACTCGACGGGGGCGACGACTGGCCGATCGACCGCGGCCTTCCTTGTTGTCGTCCTCGTCGCTGTCATCGCGGTCGGGGCACTCGAAGGAGAGATGGTCGGGGTCGCCGCAGATCCAGCACTCCCGCCGTCGACCACCACCTCGTCGACCCTTGTCCCGCGTCGACCTCTTCTCGTCGACGTCCTTCGTCGACCGCCCACCTCCGCTACCACCTCCGCCTGGCTTCCCGCGCTGCTCCTGCTGACTATTCGGCTTCGTCGGTGCAGCGTAACTCGCCTGCGGAAGGAACTCCGTGGGCTGCTCTGCCTCCTACATCGCCTCATCCTGGAGGATGTAGCTGGTAAGGGAGTCCTCGTCGAGGGACTCACGTGTGTCGGGCACCATCGTAAACCTCTTCATGAGGTTGTAGCTGCGCGGCAGGCCCTTGAGGACGTGGGTGATGTAGGACGCCGTCGAGTATTCGGCGCCCGCCATCCTTATCTCAGCTAGGATCCGTCGAGCTCGGTTGCAGTAGTCCGTCGCCGACTCCTGCTCGCCCATTCGAATGTGAGTCATCTTCTCCTCTAGCTGTCCGATGTACAGGTCGTCCCTGGCCTGGTACGTCGACATGATGAAGTGCCATGCCTGGTGACCAGCATCCAGTCGCTCTCGACAGCTCCTAAGCGCTAGCTGCACCACTGGCAAGCAGCACCTCGAGATGACCATGAAGGTGAGCACGTGAGCAGAACGGAA